ACGCACGAGCCGAAGCCGCACGCTGCCCCACGCGCCGCCCCGGAAGTCCGCGCGTGAAACTCACGCGCCGCCGTGAGCTGTCTCACCGCCGCTGCTGCTGCACCGTTGCTGCCCCGATTGTACGGATTGGTTTCCGTAGCAATCTCGACGTGCTAAACGATCCTACCTCACGCTTCAAGAGGTAAATACGCGAAACCCTAGTTTCGATTTGAATTTCGTTTAAACCTATGTATATGTATTCATGTTTGTCTCGTATGATTTTATGTGATTATGTGTAATCGATTTAAATCATTGTGAGCATGTTATTTGGTTTAAACGCGAGCATGTTAATTGGTTTAAATTCGGTTAAATAATTAGCATGTATGTTGTTGTTTAATTTCGCTGGAAGCGCAAAGGTACGCAATTAATTGATTTAATTTGTCGGGCATGTACTTGTGTGTTTTAAAGTCGTTTAAATCACATTAAATTTTTGTTTTCCGCTGCGTATGCGTGCCCGAAACCCAACAAATATAACGAATTCGTTATTTTAATCACATTAAAATTGTCCTTTGTCACTAAACTTATGAAATAGCAAAGGAGATGAGAATATAAAAACAGATACACAAACACAAAACTCACCTAGACAACAACAAAAGGTTCCCGACACTATTGTTCCGCAAGTTCAACAGTTACACTACAAGAAAACTGTTTTTCCATAGCATATTACTATAGCGTTTTAGGACTGAATGCTATTATATAGTTGTTTTAATTTTACATCTCATTCATCACGGTAAAAAACCGCTATTATAAAAGCAATAAATATAAAACGCTATAAGATAAATAAATTTTAGTTTCGCGGGTCTCTAAAATATAATAAACCTAATTATTCATATAGTAAAAAAGTTAAAGAAAAATAAACAAAACACTTCCACCGTCAAAACTCATCGGTCAAAACCCCAATTCTGTGAAACCTTTCAAATTCTTAAACGAAGGTGAATCTTGTTGAGGCAGCAAACGAAGAAAATAGGAGGCACGCGGCCGAGAAAAAATATTTTGTAAGGAGTTTTCTCTAAGATCTGTTATAGGCACGCGGCCGAGGAAAATTCAAAATTTTTCCTTACGAGGTAATTTCTCAAATTATGATATATTGATTTTCATCTATTTTTCAAATTATTTGTTGTATTATGTTTGAATTACCGCTAATTTCATGTATTATTTACCTAATTAGTATTTTTCTACTGCCTCATACTTATACTTGCGTATCTCATTAGTACGGAATAAAGTTATATTATAAATTTCATGTTGCTTATGTTACTTACCCTATTGTTTAGGTAATGACTAAGAAATCTATAGAAATCAATAGTATTAGCTCACTTTCCGGGCTTGGGATCTTAGTTAATGACAGGCTCACAGACAATGGGAGTTGTTTGAGTGTCATCGAAAGACAGGAATACCTATTGAAAAAAATAATTGTTCGAAAAAACATGTAATTATAAAATGGAGTAAAAAAAATATGAATGTAAAGATTTTGGATACAGTTATTAACAAAAGATGCATTGTCGCAACCGAAAAAAAAAGGAAGCGAGGAACTTGATGGTTGATATCGAAAAATTATTATTAATGAAAAAAACCCGAAAAAAATGAACTTGATCGATATAAATACCTTCTCCTCGAATATGTACATTCTTCATGGAAATTTAATTGATTTTGATGAAATTGTAGAAAATATAGTGGAAAAATGCATAACAAAATCATACATTAGTTAGTGCAAAAAAAAAAAAAAAAAAAAAAAAAAAACCATGCAAATGGATGGAGGACAGAAAGATAAGGAAAATGATATTGTTGAGAGATTAATTAGCTGGACACCGAAGAAAATTATATCATCAAGAACTCGTTATAACAGAAAACCCTTCTCTGTGACGGGTAAAAAAAGTACAGAAACCCCAAAAAGCTTAACGTGGATAAAAAATTTAGGAAAAAGAAGAAAAAAAAAATGAACCTTAATTGCTCGATGGTTTTTGTGATGAGCAAAACACATAGAACATACATACTGCGTGCCGATAGGAATTGTTGACGAAGCTTGTAATCAACAGTGGACGAAACTTGTAACGAGTCTGTTTATAGGTTATAAACTATTCAGTTTTAATTATTTTTTGAAAATTTCACCTACTGATAAGGGTGTGTAATTACCATATGTGATTCCATATGTTTGCGGGGTTTTTGTAATTACCATAACCCTCAATGACAAATATTTTCCCCCCTTTCCACGAGTCCCTATCATCATTTCACGATATGGAGTTGTATAATGTAAGTGGTTCCCATCTCTTTTTATCGTTTGCAAATTTACTTTTGAGAAACATGCGAATCTTATGTCTCTGACTTGGTCTAATGGGAATCCCTTTGATGGTATTGTCAACTTACGTAATTCCTTATTTGTAATAACGATTCGCTTTTGTTCAATTTTGATCATATTTTGTTTGAGTTACTTTTTAAAGCTTTATAAATGGGGTCTTTTTAAAAACTAGTTTGGGTAAACAGTAAAAAAATACACTTTATAGCACATGTATGTAGGGGTGGTAAACGAGCCTAACCGGCTCGACAAAGACTCGAGCTCGAGCTCGAGCTCACAAGTTCGAGCTTCAGACGAGCTCGAGCTCGAGCTCGAGCCCAAATATAGTTGTTCGACGGCTCGCGAGCTGGTGTCTTTTTTTGTTTTAATATTTAATATATTATTATTATTATTATTATTATTATTATTATTAAAAAAAGATAGAATTATTTTTTTTGTTATTGAATAATTAAATAGTAAATAATCTATAATAATAAATATTTCTACTATTTAAATAGAAACATATCTTTATAACTTAGATAATGCATAATAATATAAAATATTATAATAATTATATAAAAATAACATAATTTTTTTTTAAATATATAACCACAGTTTATCATTTATTTTATAATTTTGTTCATTATGCTATAAATATTTTTTAATAAAAATATTAATAATGCCATAGGCTTCCACCATAAATTTGACCTTAGACCACCATAGCCGCACCTTCCACCATAGGTCTGAGCTGACACCACCATAGCCGCCACCTCCTTGTCTCTATAACCATCCACTTATTGCCGCCACCGCCCCCCTCAATAATGGAGTGGAATGGGGGGGGGGGGGGGGGGGGGGAGAGCAAAGAGAGAAGAAAAAAGAAAAAAGAAAAATAAATCTGAGAGAACCGTGACTTTAGAATTTATAGATTTAGGTTAAGGGTAAATTATGGATAAAAGAAAAATTCAGGATGTGAGTCATATTTAATTTTCTAAAAAGTATTTAGTTCATAAAAAAATATTAGGATTGTATTCCACACTAATTATGTTTTCCACCTAGGGACCTCTAGCATATTAACCTTTTGAATTTTCTACCATGTTGAATAAGTTCTTTGATGACTATTATCATCAATTTATTAAGATATTTATAATTGCAATAATTTTGGAAGTTTAATAAAAGTTAAATAAACATAATCCTCAAGTCATTTCCAAACTATCTATCACACACAAAAAAAAGGAAAAAGTGTGTCAGATTTTCAAAAACCCGGGTCAATTGCTGAAGAATCGGTTAAACCACGGTTGAATCGGTAAAAAATGGATTTATGAGTGGGAGGAAAAAGAAGAAACCATAAAATGATTGATTTTGTCGTAAAATTAAGGGCAAATGGCAAATTGAACCATGACAAGAGATTTAAAATGCACATAGGTCCAAACAAAAAAACAGTTTTGCAAATAAAGCAATCCCCATATCTTTTGTCTAAAATATCCTCCGTCCTAATATAATTTTCATCAATTTCATCCATTTAATACTCTAGCTTCATCAATATTGCACATTGACCTCGGATTTGAACAAATATATCACAGTAACCCCCATTTTCATAATTCGTTGAGAAAAACTTTTATTTTTAAACAAACTTACATTTTTCTGAAATAATTTTTCCGGTCAGATTCCGGCGTTTACTTTTTTTTTAAAACTTTTTTTACGCTATAAATTATTGTGTTAATAAAAAATATTGTTTGAGACAGTAATATTGAATGCCAAAACAGTAATATTATTTTCCCTAACAGTAATATTACTAATATTACTACCCCAAAATTACTAATATTACTAATATAACTGCAGAAGATATATACTAATATTACGGTCGGAGACAGCAATATTGCAGGACAAGAAGATAAAATTAATTAATACAGCAATATTACTATCTTAGACAGTAATATTGCAATAAAAGACAGTACTATTACTGTATGAGACAACAATATTACTGTTTGAGACAACACTATTACTGTCTTTTATTGCAATATTACTAATATTGCAGGGCATGACAGTAATATTAATGAAAATATTTTTTTAAACAGTTTAAAAAAAAAAAGTCAATGCCCGGAGACCAACGGCTGACCTGCCGGAAAAAAAAATATTTTTAGAAAAAAAATAGTTGAAGCCGGAGATCGGCGGTCAACAGCGGCTGACCAGGGGTCTCCGGTGGCGGCGATCAAAATTAGAATAAGGGTCAAAATTGGTTGATTGGTGAAACTAGACTAAATTGAGGTGTAAATCATGAAATTTGAATTGAATTAGGGTCTCAAAGAGTTGGAGGTAATTTTGATATTTATGAAAGAGTTTTCCTTATTAGCAAATAAGTTTGAATGAGGTGGATATATTTGCAATACAAAAAAGTAGGATGACCATTTTTTAATTAAATGCCTTTGTTATGAACCTATTTGCCAGTTGTCCTTAAATTAATAAAAGAATTTGATGATTAATAACAAATAACAATGAAAGGTCATGGGCAATCTTTTTGACTATGAGGAGGTGAGTCTGCAATTTTATTATGTCGGAGGGATCCAAGTGAAAATAAACTTAATATAAATTGGAGTAAGATTGAAATTAACACATCATCCACCAAATGATGAGCCCATTTGTTGCCCAAATACGAATCCTACTTCCCGGTCGGCCCACTACAAACAAAAGCCATAAAAACTCGACACGTCGTCGTTTCAAGGAAAAGCAACGTTTAAAACCCAACGGCTAGTTCCATGATCTTACCGTTCGACAAGACACCCATAATTCAAAAATCTTCTTCTCCTTCTTCTTACAGCACAGCCTCTACTCATCAAACTCTGCAAGAAAATTCCAACTATTAAAAAAAAAAACACACAAACACGCAGTAGCAAATCCCAGAAAACAGAGCTGAATTAAAAGCAAATGGCGTACTCGTACACACCGACATACTACACGTCGCTGCACGATTCGATCAGCTCGATGTGCAAGAACATCCTTCCGTTCTCGTTCAAGAAGAAGCGGCTGCCGGCGATTGCAGCGGCGGAGCAGCAGCTCTCGAAGCAGCAGTCCGATAATCTGAAATGGCAGCAGGAATCGTACCACCAGATACTTAATTTGATGGGCCTCTGCAAAGAGGGAATCCTTCACCAAAATGAGGTTTCCACTTTCAGAATCCATCTTCTCGAAACCCTAATTTCAATGTCCGTCGATTACGAGCCCCCCGTCATTTTGAGAGATAAGCTCATCTTCTTGCAGGTATGTCGAATCGTTGTTATGAATTGATGTAAGATGGTTTGACGAGATACTCGACTTTATTGTTAGCTGTTAATTGATGATTTGGTCACAATACTTTGAATTTCATTTATTGCCAAAAATTGGGTGCTCGTGTATTATTTATTTGATTCAACATTTAATCTGTATGGTAGAAGTAGGGGTGTAAATCGGACGGATCGTGAAAAACTAGTTCCAATTCCGTTCCAAAAAAATTGGAAATAATTGGAATTTCGGGAATTGGAACGAAAAAACTTGTTCCAAAATTGGAGAATTTCGGATCAGAATCGGCGGAATTCGGAAATTTCCAATTTGTTTTTTCGGGGAAAAAAATGGAATTATTTTCGGAACTTAAATCGGATCGGAAATCGGAATGAAAAATATTTGTTCCAAAATTGGAAAATTTCGGATCGGAATCGGCGGAAATCGGAAATTTTGTTCCAATTTCCACCTCTAGGTAGAAGACTCTTAATTTGAAAGAGCTACTTTTATGTTGCACTATTTGTTTAAGTATACATTTTGACATCAACTTCATTTTTTTATTTGAATTTTGTGCCATTAAATTAGTTTATCGTGACTATTAGGTTTTGCACTATTTGTCGTGTATTGTTATCTTGTAGAGAGAAAAAAATTATTGATCAAGCTGCTGCCTATTATAAAGATGGGATCTTGTTATACTTAAATCTAATTATATGGTACATTTTATAAATAGTTTTTAGATTTTAGTTGTTATATGAATATGATTTGATTTAGCATATTATCGTATTACAGGAATTACTGTACGCGAAATGCATATCGGACGATGAGTACCATAGATCGAAGATGCCTTTGTTACAAAAGTTAGCAGATCAAGGTGCGGAAATTAAGGAAAGGGATTTTATAGTTGAGCCGAAAAAGCAAGAGTGGTCCGTTAATGATTTGAAGGAAAGTAATAAATCTTCGGTCATAACACCGAAGAATAAAATTAAAGAAGGGTCTCCGACAAAGAAATCAAACGGGACTTCATCCGTTTCCGGTTTTGTTACACCGGATAAAAACGGAACGTTGAAGGAGGATAATAATAGTAATATTAGAACGGGCAATCGAAATGTAAGAACCGTTAGTTTTCCGAGGAGTGAGCTTATGAGTTCTAGTGAGAATCCGTTTTGGAATCGTTGTTTGGACGAGAAAGAAAGTGAGTCGAAGTCGATTCTTATGATGGAGACTTTCCCCGAGCAAAGTGGCGGCAGTGCTAAAGGAAAAAGGAAACCGTTTAGAGCTCTGTTTCAGAAAGATCTAAAAGAGGGGCATTTTGGTAATATCGAGGAGAAAGAAAGAGCAAAATCGGTGAAAAAAACGTGGGGTTTTGATGGATTCAAGAAATGGAAGAAATCAAATCCCGATGATGAAACGGCTCCTTTGTCCCTTACTGAAAAATCGGACGGTATAAGTTGCACCGAGCAAACGGAGAAGAAATTGCATCTAAATGGTTCAACGGTACAAATATTAACAACACTAATTACTCGTTTTCTTGGCTATGTAAAAGAATTTGCGGTGATGAATTAATGGCTAAACTTGTTCGAAATTCTTGTGTAGGTTTTACGAGAGAAGATGAAGGAGGAGCCATCCCATATCCAAGTGGAAGTCATCGAAAGAAGTGCACGTGTCCATTTGTCGTAAGCAAATTTCAATTAACATTATTATCGTTGCAATTAAATTTAATTTTTAATTTGAATATATATGTTTAATTCGACGTTTCAGAGGCGATCAAACTGAAGAAATCTCGACGTGGCATCGTGATGCAGACAGTGCTGACTCGAAGAAGTTGTTTCAAAAGTAAGGCAAAATATAATTTCGGTCGTTTATTTTGATAATATCTGTAAATTAAAACCAACATGTTTCTGATTTTTCTATCGTTTTCCTTTTTCTGTATAATTCAGATCGGGGGCTGATTCTGTAAATTCTTCGGGTTTAGCTAGGGAAAAAGTCAACTCGAAAAGATGGACAACATTTGATGATGATGATTATGAAGAAGAAAATTCACATCCAAATCTCTTTGCTCCAAAAGCAAATTTGTCTTCGTCGAGGAATGCTCAAACATCGATTAATAGTAGCATCGACAAGGGGTTTAGATACAACCCTTTTTTCGATATGTGAGATATTTAATTATGAACAAGCCGACACCTGAATCGGCTTTCTTTTCATGTCAGAAATACTCGAAAAACATGGATTCTTATATGCTTCTTTAATGTGTGTGTGTGTGTGTGTGTGTGTATCTTTTCTTCCTTTGAAAATGGATTGTATTGTAATTGTATTACTTTGGAACACTATATAGTTGTTAGCTTGGATTAACTAGGGATCAAGTTATATATATGTACTCTCCATTATATCATAGTGTTAAATCAAATTGTGTTATAATTGTATCATATTACTTTGTAAAATTATCTAGTTGTAGCTTGGATTATACAATGAACATTAACGGGGGGAAATTCGACGTTGAAATGACCCGATAAATCTAATTATTGTCTCGTGACGATTTTGGACTTCCTTCTGACGACTTCAAGCCGGACATAAGAAAATCTCGACCAGAATCTAGAATCTCAGTGCCTACTCGTACTCAATCGATTCCAAATAAGTTCACTAGATCAAATGCTCACTTATTTTAAATATTCACATGTTTACAAGAAATCCTCTTAGGTAAATCGGTTTTTACTATTTCGGTGTTCTAGACGTAATTCTTTCAATTTGATGAATAAAACGACACCTTTAAGAAAAATGTAATATCTAATTCACATGAAAAAAACAGATAGACAAAGAAAGCTGTATCTTTTTTTGTTTATTATTTTTTTTTTTCTTTTTTTGGTGTAGACAGAAGAAAAAAGGCGTTGACATTATCATGCAGCAGTTATCCTTTGCAGCTGTAAATTAATTAATTCATCAACAAATATGGATGGCATCTATTACCCAACCTGTGATAAAAATAAAAACCCTAAACCACTAATATATATATATATATATATATATATATATATATATATATATATATATATATATATATATATATATATATATATGGCGCAAATTACGGCCACCCCTGAGTTATGGTCAAATTACGAAAAACCCGCTTCTGTTTCGGTAATAACAGTAAAACCGAACCGAAATTTCGGTACGCCGACATTTCATACTGTTTACCGAACTAAATATACAATTTGGTTTGGCAAATAACCGAATTACATAAATTTTATGTAAAAATATTTAAAAGAAGGAGGCTGACTATAATTATCTAAACAGGGGTTTTTTCATAATTTGGTCATACCTCAGCGATGCCCGTAATTTTCCCATATGTATATATATATATATATAACTGCCCATCTCCTTTTTCATTTTTACACATCACTATCATATCCCTCCACAAAGCCACATATTCATACATAAGTATGCATGAACATAGGTTCTTGGAAATCAACCCCACCTAGAGAGAGAGAGAGAGAGAGAGAGAGAGAGAGAGAGAGAGAGAGAGAGAGAGAGTAAAAAATGGTTCCAAATAGAAGTACTAGGAGACTGTCATTGGACATGTTCCAAAAGACAGGAGCATCTTCATCAGAGAGGGGCATATTCAGGTACATGGATTTAAGGTTTCCAACTCATCAAAGTACTGATGACGTCACCAATGAGGTTGAATGCGCGTGTTGTGGGCTGTCGGAGGATTGCACCGGGCCCTACATTCGGAGCATAAGGGCCCGTTTCTACGGAAAATGGGTTTGCGGGTTATGCTCGGAAGCGATCAGTGAAGAGTCGTACAAGCTTGGAGGTATACAAAATATCGTCCGAGAAGAAGCTCTACAAGCTCACATGAATGTTTGTAGAGCTTTCAATCAGACGGTCAGAGTTAATCCTGCTATGTCTCTTGCATACGCTATGACCCGGATTCTGAGAACCGGGTCGCAGAAAAATAGTGGTTGATATTTATTTTTAAATTATACAAGTAAACTAAAAAAAACAATTGTCACTAATGGGGTGTCACTAATTCTATATACTGACAATAAAACAGGATTCAGTGACAACAAAAAAAACTGATAAAAAACATATTGTAACTTAATAGTTAATATATGCATTTTAGTGGCAACTTTATATGTTGTCACAATTGAGGTGTCACTGCTGCAATTTTTTCTTGTAGCGGTATATTAATTAATTTACTAGTTTTATCATCTTATATTTTTAATCGAATTAAATAATGTTATATGCTCTTATTAACATAATAATTTTCAAATTTTTGTTGACAAAAATGATGAATTACCATCAAGCCGGACATGTCCAACATTTCGGCTCGATTGGGATCCAGGTCGGATCCGAATGGGATCCGAATCGTACTCAGTAGGTCGATTATAAGCCTTTTTAATATCTCAATTAACTCTCTCTAAATCTCGATGATCACTCTTTCATACTCAAATTCTGCAAATTCTCAATATCCTAATACGTATGCCTAATTAATAGAGGTTTATTCTTTAAATATGTATACAAATTCTCAATATTCTATGTTTCTCGAAACCTGCAAATAAGACATAGCCTATGTTTTAAGAATATTTCTCAAAATGCACTTGTACAGATACAAGAAGCACCACATTCAAAGACAAACTCGTCTTAAGATTCAATCACAATTTAATTGTTTTTTTTTAAATGTGTATAAAAACCTTAAAAGACACGTATTTTAAAACAAAGGGAGTACTTGAAATTCGTTTTATTTATCCAAACCCAGGAAAGTAAAATGTAGTTAGCTCCTTCATAAATTAACGAATTTTAAATTTACACTGTTTCAACATTTATGTCATTTTGATAAATCGTTGCTCTAACAACATAGGCAATGTTTGAATACGTTTTCGGGAGTTAATTTTCATTTTATTTTGGAGAAATATATTTTGAGAGAATAATTGGAGAATAAAAATAATGTTTGTTTATAAGTTGAAATTAGATAAAATACACATTATAGCGGACCAGCGCTCAAATCATGTTTAAAGATGTTAGGAAAAATGTATTGTAGAAGAAAATTTTGAAAAAAAAAGTGATGTTTGTTTATTGTTTAGTGAAGACAATTTTTACTGTGGCAGTTAAATCCTTTTACAATCATAATCTTAAGGGCAAATTACGGTCAACACCCTGAGTTATGGTCAAATTACGAAATCTCCTGTTGGGCTAAGTACCTAACACGCAAGTGCACGTATCGCAAACAAGATTAAAAGTGGATTCGTGAGAGTCGGATGTCGATCCCACAGGAAATACTCAAATTATCTAATCCTAAGTACCAAATTCTAACAATTATGATTTTTATCCAGCCTACGCAAAGTTGTCAAATTTAATCAACTAAATAATTAAACTAATCATGAAAGCAAATAAACACAAGAAAGTATCAATATAAAAACGGATCTAGGATTTTATCTTCCCCCTATGCGATAATTCAACACCCAATTAACCTCAATCATGCAAGTTATGATTCCTGATTATTAACCCGAGACACAAAATTACTCATAGCCCGCTGTCGCATGTATTATAGGTCTATTATTCATAAACAGTTCACAATATGTCTATGCAAACCAATTATGAATAAAACATTAACTATCAATTTTCATAACGGCTACCTAAGGTATTATCTGTATGTCTACGATGATACATACAATTGACACACTCATCCGGTGAAAACTACTCGAAGGCTCTTCTATCCCTGTTCTAATTATTAAAACGATATGTCGATTCAATTCTAATAATAACACATAGCGACATAAATTTGTACCTACAATACAATAAATCAACATTTCAAGTACTAATTAACATTAAAACACACCAAAAGCTCCAATTAAAATGATATGAATAAGTGTAAAAATATACATTTAACACCTCCCTCGTATTTAGGGATGTTAAATCGGTAAAAACCGAAACGAAATTTCGGTACGCCAACATTGCATACCGTTTACCAAACTGAATATACGATTTACAAAAGGTAAATAACTGAATTACATAAATTTTATGTAAAAATATATAAAATAAAATTCCAAAAATGAGGGTGCCCGAGTGGCGAGGAGCTAGGTAGAACTAGCGACCGCGAAATGTTGTACACAAACACAGGCAGCCACCTTCCAACACACTCGAGGGGCCAACTCTGGAAATCGACAACACGCGCTGGGGGGCATCGGCATTTTAATTCTCGAATAAATCCGAAGGTCTAAAATGCCGGGAAAAAGACCCACACAGTCACTACATCTGACAAGCAGACTAGGTTTCGGGTTGTATTAAGTACACGTGCGCAATTTCCAGACCCCACACCCCCCTCAAAGTTATATGCTCAATCAAATTCCCAATATTATAAACAAATTAAAGTTCTAGTATTTCACCGATGTGGGATGGTATAAACCAGTTCCTAACTCTCAGTCGTCGGGTCGGGTCTAACCCGGCCCGTGGCCGTGTATATACCCCCAATACCAAATTCTTGTAATAAAATAGTACACGATGCAGCTCTTGAGCTTAACCCTGGCCCCACAATCACATCCACCGCCGCCGCCGGGGTTCAGATTGTTTCCCAGCCTCGCCGCGCCGGAAAAGGGCCGCAAATTCCATCAATTACTAGTCCTCCTCCTCACCTTCACCGCCTACGCCGCTTTCCACGCTTCCCGTAAACCCCCAAGCATAGTCAAATCCATCCTCACAAATCAAACCCTAGCCGCCATTAATGCAACTGCTAATGATCAATTCACCCAGAACCCAGTTCAGAACGGGACCGGGTGGGCCCCATTTGACGGCCCACGTGGCCCCCACCGCCTCGGCGAGCTCGATCTCTCCTTCCTCTTGTCCTACGCCATCGGCATGTATTTCCTGGGCCACATTGCGGACACAGTCGATCTCCGAATTTTCCTGACCGTTGGAATGGCGGGCAGTGGCATTTTCGTAATTCTCTTCGGGTTGGGGTATTTTCTTGATCTGCACTCTTTTGGTGTTTTCGTGTTCATACAGTTGTTTTGTGGGTTGTTTCAGTCAATGGGGTGGCCTTGTGTGGTGGCGGTTGTCGGAAACTGGTTCGGGAAGGCGAAGAGAGGTTTGATCATGGGTGTATGGAATTCTCATACCTCAGTCGGTAACATTATCGGTTCCGTAGTTGCTTCCTCCGTTTTGGGCTTCGGATGGGGTTGGTCTTTCCTTCTGCCGGGATTCCTTATCATTTTCGTGTCGGGCTTCGTTTACTTGTTCCTTGTTGTTCATCCCGAAAGTATCGGGTTCGGGACATTGTCCGAAAAGGACGTCGAGATGAGCGTTGAAGGAGTAGCTTTAGTTGATTCCGAGAAAATCGAGACAGAAAATAATGGTGGAGTAGTGATTGAATCCGAGTACGACGAAGGTGGCTCGGTTGCCATTGGTTTCTTCGATGCGTGGAGATTGCCGCACGTGGCGTCGTACGCTTTCTGCTTGTTCTTCTCGAAGCTCGTGGCCTACACGTTCTTGTATTGGTTGCCGTTTTACATTCGACACACAGGTAATAAACATGCATTACTTTTTCTTTATTTTTTTCGTATATATGTTTATCTATATGGATGTGTATGTATAGGTTAAAAATAAAAATCAACTCTGTTTCGTTACGAAATTACAGCTGTAGCTGGAGTACATTTATCCCATAAAAGAGCCGGGATTCTCTCGACAATCTTTGACATCGGAGGGGTCCTAGGTGGAATCTCGGCAGGTTATATTTCCGATATTATCGAGGCTCGTGCGGTTACTTCACTTATATTCTTGTTTTTGTCGATTCCAACACTCGTGTTATATCGCCTTTACGGAAGTATATCAACGGTGACAAACGTAGGATTGATGTTTTTTTCCGGTCTGCTTGTGAACGGGCCTTACTCACTAATAACAACGGCAGTTGCTGCCGATCTCGGCACGCAGGGCACGATTAGCGGGAATTCGCGTGCGTTAGCTACCGTCACTGCAATTATAGATGGCACTGGCTCGGTCGGGGCGGCACTTGGTCCACTTTTGGCGGGATATATTTCGACTAGGGGCTGGAATAGTGTTTTCTTCATGCTTATTGTTTCGATATCGTTTGCTGGTTGTTTGTTGATTCGTGTTGTGAGAAGCGAAATTGTCGGGAAGCTAAGGGAAGGTAAATGGCTTTGGTTCGGCATAATTATGAACCACTGAGTCACCATATATTTTTTTTATAATTATTTTCTTTTGTACAAATCGGATGCATTTTTGTAAAGCATCGGTATCTACAGCAGTGTTCTTCAGTAGCTGCTTTCCACGTGCGTGTGTTAATATATCTTACTAGGCGATTCGATTCGATGCTCTTTTGTCGAAGCGTATGGAGATTTGATTTGAAAATTTATGAAAATATAGATTCATGTATTCCACACTTGTAAAATTACTTTTTTACCCTTTAAATGTTGTATCCGGCACTTGAAAAATGATGTATACCGTGTTTTAAATTTCCGACATTTGTACCTAATAATCTATTGGGTGTGAGTAATTATGTACTCTTGTCGTTTTGGTGTTCAGTCGTATGTTTCTCTCCCGTATTGGAAAAGAATATTGTAGTAACTCGGTTACGTGTCGTCTGCCTTTGCGTTGTTACATAGTACAAAAGGTTTACGTGATTGCTCGTGATGAATGCATGAGAATGTCGTAGTGTAAAGCCGTGTAATTGCTTTGCACGTCTTTCGTACTGGTTTTTTTGTAATTGCTTATGATAAGTGCTTCTTTTCATGTTTTGGTAGACTTGAAGGAATCGAATATACGATACACATGTAGCTATAATCACCCGATACGTTTGTATGCAGATATGTATACAAACATGTTCATCAGAAAAAATGGCTACAATTTATTACATTTGTGTTTACAATGTACACATGTTCCTATATCCTTCGACAACGTAGTATATTGTCCTCGTGCTTTATTCCATGTCCATTTGACAAACCAAATGGAAGAATTGCGTATACCAATCGGCATATTTACACGTTCTTGACAACATCAAATTATTTATCATCTCCACACATGTATGTGACCGTAAGAAGAAACAACGATCACGAGGCACCAATTTTGGCACAAAAATGAATTGCAACTCACATATTTTAGATACTACACCGGATGAAGTGTGTGTGCGAGCGCGCGGAATAAGCGTAAATAATCTTCACCACCCAATGTGTATTTCACCAGGTGTAGCATCTATCTTCCAGCGTAAGGGCTTCTAGCCCTGGAGCAGAAACTTCAGGCTTTGAAGCCCTTCCGCAGAAATGCACCGCCTAACCCTACTAGACCTCTGCACCACCATCGGAGCTGGCGGCTCGGTGTGAAAGCACACCATCACCACTGTCAAATTATCCATCGCCCCTCGTTTTTTCGCCTCATTCACGATATCCTTGCAACACAACTTGACACTATTGTGCTCTTGTAGTCTCCTCCTAGCGAAATCCACCGCGTTTTGGCTCCTAAAAACATCCCATATTCCGTCACTACCGATTATCAAGAATTCGTCCTCGTTCGTAAGCGTCGTTAATTTGAGCTCCGGTTCGGCACTCAACGGTCCGCCTTTTTCCCACTCCTTTAGCCCTTTAATGTGCCAATCGCCTAAAGCTCGCGTCACTCCCAATTGGCCGTTCAAATAACCGTCGTCCACAAATCCACCTAGTGACTCGACCCTCGACCGTTCGTTTGCACAACAAGGCCTATGGTCTTTTGACATCTCGATTGCAACCCCGCATCGAGATAAAACCGCTCTACAATCTCCGGCATTTGCAACGAGCAACGATCTGATTTCAAATTCACGCCACGTTTTTTTTTGTCAGCGGATAAAATTTGTGAAAAAAGAGAAATGGGACGATAAATGCGAGAATATATTGTACCTGCCAAATATCATTGCGGTGAGTGCAGTTGTGCCAGACGACAGTGTAGATTCGATGAAGCAAGATTTGGCAAAGGCGGTATCGGCTTCCACGAAAGATCGTGTGATCACTTTCTCAAGCTCCAACGGGAAATCGGCATCCTCGACAATAATTCTTGGCAAGTGGTCACGTACAAATTGGGCTGCACCCTTTCCACCATGTCCATCGAACACCTGTCACAAAAGCCAAATTCACATATAAATATACAAACTCGTATTATTTGGTATTATCCATTATGAGCTGATTTCTCTTCGATCTCCAGTTTTGAGTTTCTAGAGAGATATCACCTTTTTATGAGTAGAAAATAAGTCTCAACTCTTCGCCGAATCAGAAAACATGTAAAAATTAGACTAATACACAATATTTCAATGGGTAAATTACGACGACTCCGTGAGGTATGGTCAAATTACGAAAAACCCCCCTCATGTTTGTGTAGTTACAACCACCCCTCAACTATAAATCTTCTTACACGTCCATCCTTGCGGTTTCAAATTTAGTGGAATCTTCGAGATTATATGGAATATTATCACTTTTGTACTCGTTTTATCCCATTTGAACTCTACATTTTGAAGCAAGATGATCATAATATGTGTTTTCTGGCTTTCATATATCAGATTGTGGTGCATCAGAATCTGTATTTTTCCACAAAACGAGTACAAACTAGAGCACATTCCACGAAATTTAGATGATTATGTTGAATTTGACACCATAAGGGTGGAAATGTAAGAAAAAATCATAGTTGAGGGGTAGATGTAATTATCCAAACAATAAGGGTTTTTTTTAGTAAATTGACCATACCCCAAGGGGGTGGTTGTAATTTACCCATATTTCAATTGATTGATTATTCTGAATTATAACATATTTCACCGAAGAAATCTGGTTTCTTTCTTCAACAACAAAATATTCCAAGCTAAATAACAATTTTGCATAAAAGGATATATCGAACTTACCCCATAGAAGGATATAGCTTCGTCACCACATACAGTTGAACCGAAATTCATCGCCAAATCGGGAATGCAAACATGTGTGTCCTCCATATGTAACCGCCCTCCTATGTCCGACCACTCTCCAGACCTAAGTGTCGGGACGAAATTATTATTCGATATCATCTGTTTTCTGTCTGAAATGGTCGAGTTTTCACAAATGCTTTCCAGCTAGATAAGAAGAAAAAAAAAACGGGGTTATGAGTAACTACCGAAGACGATGAACTTTTGAATCTCGAAAAACACGAGTATATGCATTCACAGCTTGTAATAAATTTTCAGCTTATCCACAATTTCATCGACAGTTAAAGCATTTTCACTAGTACGAACTAGTGTTGCCCCAAATCGAAGTTCCATCATAGATGATTAAATTTATATCCATAAAAATTTCGTTATTTATTTTTGGATACTATAAACCGTTTGCTATTTTGCTTAGAGATTTACTCATTCCGATGCAGTATGTGAAAGATTTACTTCGACACGAACGGACAGAAAAGTAAAGATCACAATCTATTCACATATATGTTTAACTTTAAAGTTGTTTGCTTTAAACATGAATTTAATCACCTTATCCGTTATCACCGAATTGAGTTACGAAAATCTACTAGATAAAACACCCCGGTAATTCAAGTATTGGAAAAATTCGTTCGACAAAATAAGAAATTACAATGAAGGTACCATCTAGAAGAAAATTTCACTTGTGTTAGATTTTAAATTGAGAAATAGTTGCTATAGTTACGAAACTGAAATGCTATTCGTAGTGCGAGTTTTACTGCCTTGCAGTGCAAATTTATTTTATTTGTAACTTCTATTAAAAAAAACTCAAAATCCTCTCAAACACTTTCCGAATACTCAAAATTAAACGAGCAATTTCGACAACAATTTTAGGTAACAATTACTTTAATACGTAAATTTAACGTTTTATTGTTGGTTAATTTACAAATTCCATCGATTAGTTTAATTCTTTTGTTGAATCGATCGAATAAAAAAAAATAAAAAAAACGACACCGTTTGAAATAATTTGCTCTATTTCGTGCTTCCTAGCACGAAACATAGTCGATTTTTTTTTTTTTTTTTTTTTTTTTTTTATCTTTTGGAAAAAAGTTTTGGAAAATTTGTCAAAAAATGAATTATTTGGCACTACGAATGGAAAAAATCGCACAATGAAAAGCAAAGCCCTTATGAAAGGTAAGTACACTGACTTATTTTTTTTTTGCTCTTTTTTTGATAAAAATAAGTACACTGACTGTATATGAAGCTAACCCAACCATAAGAGAAGATGGGATATGTGTCAGCTAGTTCAAAACCCCCACCCCCACCCCCACCCCCACCTTGCAAAAGACATAGAAGAAGCAAAAGATTTCAAGAAAATCCTAAAATAAAAAACAAAAAAAATAAAATAAAAATTCCTGCTTCTTTTAATTGTCAAATCTCAAACTAAGACAAGGACCCAGAAATATAGCTACAGTGTTACATATGACCAAATCTAAACAAACAAATCAGCAAATAAAAAATATGAAGACAACACCAAAATTAAAGATTGAATTTTTAATTAATACTCACAGGGAAGGAATTGGGGTTGTGGGTATTATTGGAGAAATCAACTTGAGAAAGCAAATCATTATTATTGCTGGGCAGACCCTTTTCCTCCATTAATCCTTCACTCACTTGCTCTGCATCTTTAACACACATTTCCTTTTTTTTTTTTTCTTTCTTCTTCACTATTTAGGTCAACCAGAAGAATCAAGAATCGTGTCTCTTTCTCTCTCTACACTTTATGAGTACACTAGTGGTGGTAGAAAGAGCTCCCACCCTTTGGATTGGGAGCTAGAGAGAGAGAGAAGATTCTGGGAATATGTTGTTTATGGCTGTGAGAAGAGAGAGAGAGAGAGAGAGAGAGAGAGAAGTTTGTGTGTGTGTGTGTGTGTGTGTTTTTTGTAAATCTGTTGGATTAGTATCACTGCTATATATTGTGGAGTGTTTGTGGTGTCAAAACATTTTCTTTTTTTAATTTAAATAATCCTTGTGAAAAGCATGGTTGCAACTGTGGGAAATTTGGGGTGGTGTTTTATTTTTTTTTTTTTGAAAAAGAGGGTGGTGTTTTTATTCATTTTCCTGTATTTCAGTGCGTGTGTGTGTCACACTATGTGGGGGCGGTTGGGGTTATTTATAAGGGTAAATTACGACTACCCTGAGTACGATTAAATTACTAAAATAAATTTTTATGTTTGGATAATTATGATTACGTTCTTCAACTATGAATCGTTTTACATGTACATTTTTATAATGTCAAATTCAATAGAATGTTCTGTGGTTTGTACTTGTTTTGTGGAAAAATGCAGTTTCTGATGTACCGCAATATGATATTTATACATCAATATACACATCATGTGAGCATCTTTTTCAAAAGATGGAGCTCAAATGAAAAAAAAACGGGTACAAATTGGAGAATATTTTACATAATATAGAAGATTACATTATATTTCACACCGCAAAAGTGGACGTGTAAGAAAAATTATAGTTGAAGGGTTATTGTAATTACAAAACATGTGGATTTTTTCGTAATTTGACCTTACCCCTGGGATTGACCGTAATTTAATCTATTTATAATTCTGATTAGGTGGTTTGAAATTAAATTTAAAAAAGGAAGTTGTTTTAAATTAAAAAAAAAAAAGAAAAAGAAAAAGAAAGGAAAACAAAGCACTTAAGCTAAAGTGTAATTAATATTTCGTTAGGTTGGTTCTGCTACACAATCCATACCTAATTATCTAACTAAACATTTGACTTGAACAGATGACTTTATGCAATTTACAGCCTAAAATTAATGGTCAAAGCTACTTTATTTAACTTGTTTTATAGTCCAGGTAATATCAAAGTTTAAATCTACAATCCTCTGTGATTTCTTACTTTTCGGGATCATTTGACAAACCCCCTCATATCCACCGTACGTTTAAGATGGGTCCAAAAAAAAAAACTCTCCTTTTTAAAATAAATCCAAAATATTTGTAATCAACCTAATTTCACTATAATACTCTTTCTCTTTTTTTTTTTAATCTAACGCTGTTAGACGTCTCTTTCTCTCATTTCTCTTCTCTCACAACCACTCACCACGGCCGCCCTGCGCGCCCTCATTTTTCTTCTATCGTTCTTCTCTTCACAACCAACATCTCTTTCACTCATGACCATCGCTCCTTCCCCTGCCTATCAAGACGATTAGGATTAATGGTAATTTGCAGATTCAGAACCAAGCCGAGGACGATTGTTAACGGAGGAGGAAGAGACATCGTTTGCTGGTGGTTTGTGTTAGAAATTGTACATGAATTTGAAATAGGAATTTTGTTAATTTTTTTTTTACTTTGGTCAATTCTTCACATACACACACAACCCTAAAAGATAGTGAACCAACCTTATGAGACCAATCAGAGGAAGCTTAGCCACGGACCTCTTCAGTAAAGAAATTACAAAGTTTAACCGACAAAAAGACAGAATAAATGTCAGTCAAATTTCATAGTGTAATAATGAGAACACCAACAAATTATACAAACAAAGTCATGGGACTTTTGTTAATTACATAGTGATTTTCGTTAATTATAGAGTGGTTTTTATTAATTATAGAGTGATTTTTGTTCATTGATAAGTTCATAGTGATTTTTTGTAATGAAATTTGTTAATTACATAGTGATTTTCATTAATTACAGAGTGATTTTCATTAATTATCGAGTGGTTTTAGTTAATTGATAATTTTTTAGTGAATATTTATAATGGAACTTGTTAATTACATCGTAATTTTCGTTAATTACAGAGTGGTTTTCATTAATTACAAAGTGGGTTACGTTAATATTAACGTGGATTATGATTATTTTATAGTAATTTTTCTTTTAATTTCATAGTGGTTTTCGATAAATTTAGTGGTTTTCGATGAGTATATAGTGGATTTCATTTTTTTTAAAATATGAACCATTTAAAAAAGTGAAAAAAAACCAATTTCTGTTTTAAATTGATATTAAAAAAACCAATAAAAAAAAAAGAAAAAAGATGAAACTTAAACGGAAGCCGTGCGATAGGGGAGAAATTTGAGGATGGTGTGGGGTAAAAATAGAGGAATTTGCATATCTACCAAAAAAATAATGAATTTTTCAAAATAATATAATATGGTAATTTTCAGTAATATTAAATAGGGGCATGTGGGATAATTCCAGTCAATTGGATTTATAACAAATATCAATTAAAAAAAATAAATTTATCAAAAATTCAAAATTCAATTAGGGGTGTTTGTCATATAACCCCTATTTTTTCCCCAAGTGGGTATATGATCTAATCATCTAATTCACTTCAAGCAATAATAATTTCACAATGTTTGATTCGGATTTCATCTCAATTTTATTATTTTCCGGAATGAATTTATGTTTGTTAATATTTTCAAAATAGATTCTCATAACAATTTTAAAAGTTTATATCTCCTCCATATATGATTTGATTCCTATTGTAAAAAAAAAAAAATTGACTGCTAAACTACAACTTTCAATAAAAAGCAAAAGGATATCACTTTGATTTTGAAATTCGTTGTCTAAAATATTTTCTTCCAACATATGTAAACTTGACTGCTGCAGTATAGTTTGTCTCATCTAAAAATATAAATAGACATTATTTTAATTTGATTCGCTCAAAATATATTTCCACAAACTAAAATAAAAATAACCATCCAAAGAATCCGAACATTGTCAATATTTTTGCATCACAATTTTGTCTTAAAAAATGACCCGGAATTTATGTTATTGCTATATATAAAGCATAGAAATTTGGCTTATTTTACATCCATTAATGGATGTTAATGAGACAAGCCTCATGATTAATTTAAGTCACAATCAATTCAAAAATTTCCACCACGTTAGAACTCTCATCTTACATATCTTTTTCGCTTTTTTTAATGCAACCTTTCATTTAATAAAGCAAACTATAAAATAATCAGAAGGCTGCGGCTATATACAATACTAATTCCACTTGTGCAAGACCAAATTAAAGAAAGATTCCAAAAGATTCCATTTTATTAAGATGAAATGACAAATATACCCATAAATTAAATTGTCTTTTGTTTGCTCATGCAAGACCAAATAACAAATAATAAAAAAATATGAAACAAATAAATTTCGACATTAAGGTGTCGAATATATGTCCATAAATTCGACACGTTAATGTCGAAATTTAATATATTTGGACTAATTTGCTAACAGTTAAATTTCAACACTAAGGTGTCGATTTTTGTACTCCAAAATCGACATCTCAATGTCGATTTTTACCTACAAAATTCGACATGTACATGTCGACTGTGTCTGCGTGGAATTTTTTTTTTTTTTTTTAAATATGAAACAACTAAATTTCGACATTAAGGTGTCGAATATATGTCCATAAATTCGACACCTCAATGTTGAAATTTAGTATATTTGGACTACTTTGCTAACAATCAAATTTCGACACTAAGGTGTCGATTTTGTACTAAAAAATCGACATCTCAATGTCGATTTTTGCCTATAAAATTCGACTTGTACATGTCGACTGCGTCTGCGCGAGATTTTTTTTTGGGAAAACGATATTCTAGCTAAAAAAACACATAAATGCACATTTTCTTGAGTTTTTCCACCGTAGATTCTTCTATTTTGATGTCTTCTGACTCCATACTTACCATCTTTGTAAGATTTGTTGAGTTTTGATGATTTTGAATGTTTAGGTTTTGTGGGTTTATAGATGAGGAAGGAGAAAGGTTTTGATGGAGAAGATGAAAGTTGGTCTTGTGATTTTGTGATAGGGTTTTTTTTTTTGTTTTTGAGTTTTTGATATTGCACATTTGGAATTTTCTATGTTTTAAACAAGTAAGGGTATTATAGTATTTATACATTAAAAAATTTAATTTGGTCTTGCACAAGTGAAGTTAGTCTTGCATATAGCCGCAGCCTAATTAGAATTTTATTTATCTCGAATGCTAAACTCCACACTAAATTTTTCGAATTCCGAATACAAGTGAAAAGCTTTATCTCTATAAAATATTTATTATCCTTCCCTAGTCTTCTTTCTTTCCACAAAATAAAACACACAAAAGTTACATGGCATTCCAAGATCTAAATAAATAAAATTCTTCACATATTCAAACTACAATTAAGATAATGTTTTACCTTTAATTTCATTTATTGTTCGAATCGATATGGATTTGAGATGATTTCATAATACATTGAAAAGAAAACAAAAATCAACTTTTGGAACTTTCATGGTCGTCGATAAATGGCGGCCTAGGTCGTCACCAATGACGTTGGTGGCCATCCATGGTGGGCCGCCTGTGATGATTAGCCAACGGCATAAGTTGGAGTGCATCCACGGCAGATACAACAAAGTGGAGGCTGAGGTGAACAGTGGCGAAGCCAGAATTTTATCACTTTGAGGGCCGAATATACATTAAAAAATAAGGTAAAATAAAAATTAACGATAACAATAATAGTGCTAAGAGTGGTGAGTCTAGAATTTTGTTACATGTTAAAATAGAGAGATAATTATTTTAATTTATGTGCAGGATGTAGTATTTTTTTTTTTTTTAATTTAGCACCCCTTATTTATTTATTTGAAAACAATATCCCTCCGGCTTCTTATTGTTTGATTTACTTGTGGTCTGACCTGTTTTTTTTTTTTTTTCAACACTAGTGCAGATTAAAAAAAATATATTTAATTGAAAATAATTAAAAAGGAATCCAAGAGAAACAAAATATAAATTAAGGTCCAACATAGTACAACCTCAAAAAATAAAAAAACATAAAAGCAAACAATTAGATGATGATAACGTTTTTGTTTGGTGTGAAAGCTACCACCCACTAAGTGTGGAAGGTTACAATTCATATATATCGTACTTAATTATTTATTGGTATCTATTTTGCCACGAA